TGCATAATAATAAACTACTGTTGGCTTGTCCTCATAATCTCTACTTGCATCATTATTATATTAAAAAAAACTAAGGTAAAAACAAACCCACAAACAAAGCGACGCTATAAAAGGACTCATAAAAGTGCATTGAAAAAACTTTAGAATTTTATTTATGTTAGTTGTCGCATATCAATAGACTGTATTTTATTTCATTGGCATTCCCAGCTGATCACGTAACGTAAATGTGGATGTGGGTACGATTTTATTCAACAACCCGGATCACTAATTGCCGTTTTGCTTCCCGTCGATAACAAAATCTTTGTTTTACGACTACGAAGAATTGTCACCAGCAATTAGTTCCTCATCAACGCTCGTCTGTATAATTCCAGCGCGACTATCGCGAAGTTTTGAAAAAGTGTTTAGCAAAATCGACTATGTGTAATTTCTGGTGAAAACGAACTTCGAAATGAAGATTACAGCTTTGTAAGTGTTAAGTAGATAGGTACTAATTATTTTAATAGATTTCTTTTTCTTGTATTTAAATTCGAGGATTTATGTAAAGGTGTTTCAACTATATCATACTCGTGCACTATAATGAGAATATATTTCGTTGTAGTGACGTAAGCTATTCGTAATTATAGAAATTAATTTAAAGTGCAAATTACAATTTACGATAATAAATGGTTTATTAAAAGCATCGTAACATATGTTTTAATGCGTTCAATGCAATTTTATTAATTGTGAAATATTAAGGCAGATAAGCCGTAAATTCATTTACTCGCATAAAATCTCCCGTACTCTGCATGTTATTCCCCAAATTAGGTTCACCCTAGTTCAATTAATTTTTAATAATGTCTCGCGTGCGAACGCCGCACAAGAATTGATTTCCGAATTCCACTCATAAAAAATTCGACTTCCCGATTTATATTAAAGTCAGGAACAAATGCCACTTATATTCCGGTAGTCCTTGTTCTCCATCGGACCGGACCGTGATATCCAATTCGAAAGAGAAACTTTCCCATAGATCATGAAAATTTGAACCTTGAAATATAATTTCACGAGGACGATAAATCGCCGGGCCGGGCATAGTGGCGGTAGCCGATAAGAAACGACGGATTGCCGTGCCTTTGGCGAAGATCACAAAACAAATAGATCAAGATTGGAAAGGAACCAACCCCCGAAGTCAAGGCCGTGCGCCGAGAGAAATTCGACATGGCCTCTGTCCTTCCCCGTACAAAAAATAAATTTTTCAATCAAGTACCGTATACCTATCCACATTTTTTCTTACATTATAAGCTGTCATTGTGTATTATTCTTTATGATTATCAAACCATCAAAGAATCATAGCATCATCATAGCATGTGCTATTAAATATTTATTTTTGATTCTTTTATTACACTTACTTAACTATTGTCTAAGCCATTTTTACCTTTAAATCTTATCTTATCAAGATAATGAATATAGAAACCCCAATAGGAATATTCCAGTAACGTCTTTGAACGTGGAATCTGCGTTTTGTGCTTGCCTCTGCATGTCGTTCGTCTTGCGTTCGCATAGACACAAATTCACTTCTTTCTCTACTAGACAGGAAAACCGGATGTTGATTGCGACAATAGCAGAAAATATACGAGAAATGATATCGCTCCCGTAACAAATTGCTTTTCGAAAGAATTGCGACATCGATCTCCCTGGATATAGGATAGGTAATGCGTTAGCGTATCCCGATGCAGCCGAAGATTCATTCCCTAAATGCAGGGAAAATAAACATCCGAGGAAGTTGAATTACCGTTGAAAAATTCTATTATTCCTTCGTGGATTATTTGTATATTGATTGATTGATTACATGTGGCTATATGTAAACAAAACATATTAGTGCAACAAAATTTAATTTAAAGAAAATAACCTTATAGGAAAGTTGCAGATAAAGCTAGAAGAGTTGCATGACCTTTGAAGATTTCCATATAAATTATGTTTAGAGTTCGTAGCTTGGAATTTATCATTCGGAAATCTGCCGGCCTGCCGTTTTCTCCGAATCCAGCAAGTTTTTTTTGTCGCTTTAGTTCTGAAAAAGGGGCACCACTTCGTGCGGATCCTGTCGCGTCTGCTGGAGAGGGTATCAAAAGGATTGTATATCTGATCGGCCGCGCGGAGTCGAGGAAAATGAAAAAGTTCGGGGTTCGGAAAACTTGAGACGGATAAAAGGAATTGTGCAGTTTTCTATTTATTGAGTTTGAAACGAGATAAGGGATGTGTATGCGGGTCGCGTATACTGGAAGGGGTGCGACGCCATGGCGGCGAATGTCACATAGCTCATTCTTTGCGCACTCAGCACATTTTAAAATGTATCAACCCCCTATAAAATTACAATAAGATATGTCCTCTTCCACGTCGCGCATTTTATATGTTTGCGTGTAGACTTACAAATAAAAGGTAAATGCTTTTTCGCATTACGTTTTCGAAATGTATATAAACACCGATGCGAGTTATATCTAAACTTCCCAACTTAAATTCTACTTTACTGCTATAGGTAGGATAAAAATATCATCACATAAACAGATATGAAATAGTACCTACCTAAAGGAATAATTAATATAACAAATAATAAACATTTCCAAAAACACGCATTTTCCGGTTCCATTTTGTTTCTCTATGAGTTTTTCCATTGTAGGAACACTCTTTGTGCTACGTATGATTTACCACGCAATATTTCGTCGTGTCTTCCGAAAATTTATGGCAATAATATGGGAGGTTGCATGTTGAAAGTCCATGAACTAAGATTGATTTACCTTGCTAGGAGAAAAACTGCTGGGTAGGTAGCTTGTTTAATTGAATTTTGGTCGGGCATTACTAAAGGGGACGGAGGATTGTCAAGGGAAATTTTCAATTCACTCTTAGAATGATTTCGATGGCGTGCTTGTTTTGCGGTAATTAATTTATAGTACAATCTATTTGAGAACTAAAAATAATTTATGATTATACCTACCTACTGCTCTATTATAGTATAGTTAATCAGAAAAATTAAATCCTTTATTGCAATTGACAAAAATAAAGGCATTCAAGCGGAGGATATCAATCAACTGTGGATATTGCAAATTCCTGCAGCTATTTGTTTCACGGATATGAATAATAAAGCGATTTTATAAATGTTTAAATTGCAATATCCACTTTCTGTACCTACATAAAAGCAGTTTTGGGTTTTCGGTGAAATTTATCGTTGAACGAAATTTGCTGAGTACTCTCTTTGAATTGATAGTACGTATAAATCAGCGGGAAGGATATTGCTATAAAAATTATGTTCAAAGTTTGCGGAGTCTTTTGCAGTCAGATAAATTGACTTTTATAATTTGTTAGCTTTATTACGTTATTTGGCATGTTTGCTGAAACGCTGCTCTTTACATTTGCGCAAAATTTATTATTTATAACCCAAAACCGATAAGACTTATTGGAAGAATGATGTTTATCCGAAATCCGGATATATTTCAGGATTTTTAGTTGCATTTTAGGAGGATATCGGCCGGCCATAACGTCTTACGGATGCCCTCGATACAAACAGGGACTGTTATAATTAATGCAACTAATACTGCAGCACCGAGATTAATATGCAATAATTTACTGGCGGTGCTGCCGAGTGGGTAAAACAGAAAACTGAGAACCGGCTTTATGTGCGTCTGCAATTCTCCCGCTCGCCGCCTAGCGGCAGAATGATTAACCGACTTCATTTGGTACACAAATTTCGCCAAATGCAAATTTAATAAGTCTACTTGCGTTTTTGTTGCACCCGCGTATCGCCCGACACTCTCGAAACTGCGGCTTTTATTAAAAATTCACTACATAAACATTCCCACTTTGTATGTTGTAGAATAATAAGTAGAATATTTAATTTTAATAACTAGGCAGATATAGGCAAAAAACTTAAAAAAATAGTAAATGATCTAAATGATGGTTGGCTACGGAAAAATGAATGTTTTCAAAACATTGTAAATCTTCTATGAATTAACGAAAGTACTATTTGATTCATGACTCAATTGGAAGCAAAATTGCAAGGTTGGAATATTATCATTATTTATCGTTATTATCATTACACAAATAATTATCAGATAAAGGTAGGTAGTAACTGCGTTAAAAAGTGAAAATTGCAATAGGTACATTAGCCAAGGTTACCGAGCAAATTTTTTCAAGAACAAAGTACAAGTGTACATAATTTAATTATTATTTACAAAAAGGCTTTTCATTAAACGGTGTTATTATATTTGTGTATAATGTTTTTCATAAAATATATAAAATAATTAAATACCTACTTAACTAAAGTAAATTTTAACGATGGAATCAATTTCCTTATCATATCATAGAAAAGTAGCGAACAAATGAGAAGAAAATGGCGTGTAAACACCTCCAGAGTTCATTGTCTGAAATAAAATATAAGGACGTCCGAGCATTGGAGCCATAACTTTTGCGGGCAGACCATGTAAAACATGGCGATATCTTCATATAACGCCGTTGGACAGGTCTCGTATTTCTTGTATCGGTACTAGGAAACACCCTGCTGGTCCGCAGAGTTATATATGGCGATGGATCGGTACATACTTTGTAGTAGTACCAGCTAGACGTCCCATCTCCTCGACTATTCCTTCTGATACTTTATTTCAAACTCTATTCTCACCATAGCCAGATAAGAGATCTTTTTGTGTAGGGAAGTGTCTAAAATGGTTGTGTTAATGTTGTGGAAAATTATTAGGTGCTATTTGTGATTTAGATCCCGATCAATGATATTTGGAAAAAAAATTCGTACCTAATGAAAAATATTTAAATTCGTTGTAAATGTTAGTAGGTATGTTACAGAATTATGTGTGGTATGAAATCCACGGGCCACTTCCTAGCTCTGGCTGTCCGAACATCATGAACGTTCCCTTCGAAATTCATCATCCAGATTTAAATTATAACTCGAGCAAATTGCCGGGGCATACCGACCTAACATAAAATTAAACTTCACTAAAAGTGAGCCAATTAGAAGTGGCAAGATGGAAGATTTATCTCCATGGCAACGAGTTAGCTGTCTGCCGGTGAAGGATTGTGATCACATGACTGCCAAGGGTCCTGTCCGCGGGGATGAATTGCAGAACGGGGGTTTTTTGGAAAAGGTAGAGGACATAAATTTCGGGGGTTTTGTTGAGTTGGACGTCAATGAATTAAGTTTTTCGAACCGGAAGATTTACGACCTTGCACTCCAACTTTTTGCCATTCGTTTTGTGACGAACCGATACGTACGTATTTACATCCGCACGATGTAATCTAACTTTTCTAATTTCAAAATAATTTTACATTAGGTAGGTATAGTGAAATAGAAATAGCTGTATTAGATGAAATAACTGGATGAATGACTTAAAAAAATATCGCTTAAAAATATCATTATTGCCAATTTGAGACCAGTCAAAATAGTGTAAGATAGTTGTGTAATAATTGCAATTTAATTTCTCTCTATGCATATATTTTTTAAATAAATGCATACTCGTATTCCACTAAATAAAGCGCGTTCATACGCTCCATTCGATATTTCGCAAGGCTGTAAAGTACGAAGCGGTTTTCTCCAATTCATATTAAATGCAAAATTGCCAGTCGAGGCACACATTTTGATTTATACGTCTGTGAAATATGCATTATCTAAATTTGTGCTCTATCTTTTTTATTATACTTTAGGTTGGTCACAAATCACTCCGATCACGCGGTATTATGTGTGGTGAATACGTCCCGAATTCCAACGTATGTTTCTTCTTCTTCCTCTCCTCTTTGCGGACTGAATAAAATTCAGAATGCGTCCGCGTTCGCTTGCGGATTGGGATATCAGATATCATTATTAAAATACTGAAGAAAGATCAATCGATAAAAATCTAATATTAAAGTATAAGGTGAATGGATTTATTACAAAAAAATCCCAGAAACTTCAGTCTTGATATTTAATAATAACTATAAACTAACAATAAAATTAGTGACATAACATCGGTGATTATTAGATTAAGAATATTCATAATTTTATGTTACAAGTTATGCGACAAAGTGAAAGAAAGTTTTTTAGTTTTCGTGAAGGTTTCGTTTCGAATGAATCCATAAAAATTTAATTTTAATTAAAAGTTTGTTACTTATTAAAAGCAGCAGGTTCGTATCTGAAATTCGTTTAACAAAAGGAACGATGCACGTCGACTTAAAACTCAAAGGGATTTATAACATGGGGAACGGAGTTTTACATCTTCATTTTAAAGTTAGCAGAAGTATGTAGGTAGAATTGTCGAGAATTTAAATCGGGTAGGGAAAAGAGACGATATTTATTTAGATTAAGGTTGACATCTGTGGGAGAATGCTGTTATGCAACATATTTCGTGCATTATAATCACTAATTTATGACTAGAACACCAGATTTTTCAAACATATACAGTATGTTGTAATATTATTAACATAGAATATAATATTTGATATCTACTTGTAGAAAGTGCACCTTCGAATTATTCATTTGAAAACGCCAACTTCTTTTCGTGAATTTATCCTCCTCCCGAAATTATATTTCAAGGTATAATAATGCATCAAATTTAGAGGATGTATGGCCAAATATAAATCCGGAATTAAATATAGAATGGAGGCTCCGGTAGCGGCAGCGACGGCAGATATATCGAGCTGCAAACGCTGCTCGACGTGGCATTACTCAACTGTAAGCCGGAACAATCCCCCAATTTATCCTAGGCTTGGAAGGCACCAGGATCTCATTGGGATTTGATGAAACTGTGCGCGTCTGCTAATCTCGCGGTTAACAGGCTCTGCGAAATAGATGCACTTTTTAAAAAGTTTTCCGCTGGAACTTACACTCAACTCTTTAACAACAGTTTGAACTCTTTAAATTTTGCAGGTGCAACTACAAATCTAATATTTATTATAAATAGCACTTATGATAATCGAGTCAATTCCTTTATGATTTACTGGGCCGATTTTTTTGCTAGTGAATAATTTCTCGAATTAGAAAACGTATTTATTGATAGTTTCCTGAATTAATTCAACAAAACGGAAGCGCATCATAAAATATCTATACGATTACCATGAAATTCGCATAAACAAAAAAGTTCCACAATCTGAATATTCGATGCCAACCGGAAGAAATATTAGATGATATACTCCGCGCAGCTAATGGATACGTCCCAGCGCCTTTTTCGCTTTTATTTATTTTCGGGAGGAATAATGCAAGAAACTGCCATGTATATGTGACGCAGTTGAATGGTCGGAGACTAGCTCATATGCGGCTAATGCTTTTAATTATCTTAAAAATAACAAGAAACTTTCTTCAAATTTGCTCTAGACTTTATGAATTTGTACATTTTTTCCTCGTTTAAATAAATACTAAATTTATAACACATTTAGACAACTATACACACTTTGAAATCATGTATCTGGTAGGTACTTTCAAATATGCATTATAGAGAAGCAAATATTTTGAATAAAATTTTACGATGTATATCCACTGAGGTGACAACTGAAAGAAGTTGATAATTAAATTTTTGTACAAAATCACGCCGTTACGTCCATTATTCATCGAGATTTATCATCGTTCCGTTCGTGTTTTCGACCTTCGAAAAATTTTGTATTACATTCGGAGATCGGGAAGAAAAATGTGTGTTTTTGATAGTCGATAAGCTGATGGTTCCCGGCTGTAAATCACGCGTTATGTACGTTACACAAAAATGATTAATAGCGAATATACAAAGTGATTATTTATTTAATATTATAATTTATTCAGAAAAAGGCCAAGAAGTAAATCCGAGTCGAGCGTTTGACGTTCAACAGCGCCCATATTTTTTCGTTTAAATTATTGCCTCGGATAACTCGGCGAATGGAAGCAACAAATACGGTGGTTGGACTTTTTTTTATTTCATAAATATTTAATCCTTCTATTATCTACTCTTTCAAATGCTAGGTATTTATACATATGCGTAGAATATTACAGGGATTCACAAACTTCTTTAAAAAAGCCCTTATACCACTATTTTATTTATTTAATTAACTCTCCAATATACTTGAAAATTTAACAAAAACGGTTCCTCTTTATACTAATGCTGTAGAGAAATGAGTACTTTTTAAAGACCACGTAGGTAAACATAATTCTGATGAACTCGTTAAAAATGTAAACTTACATAAAAAAAGACCATGTAATATTTCAGGGTTTGATTTACGTCCTGAAAATAGCCGGATGATTGCGCCCTGGCAAGATAGAAACAATAAATTTTTACACTGCCATCAGATAAAAGTGTGACACTGTAGTTTCTAAAACTTGAAAAGGTACTCAATTGCATTCAACCAACCGGGAAATGAGCAGACCGCAGATAAAGAACGAAATATAGATAGTTTACTCGGAAGAAAAGGGCTAAGAAATTTTAAACGGGCACCCCTATAAATCGCGCGAAACAGATGGCGCGGCTGTCGCAAAGAGGCAACCGGCATCTTCTAGATAGAGCTGTTTTAACTGCAATACGATATTTTCGTTCTTGCACTTTGTTTACTCCAAAGTATCCGGGTTAGATGCTGCTATCAAGATTAATGAATGCGCTTTTAAAAACATGGCGGTTACTGTGGGTGTTTCCAATTTAAAACCATTCAAGTTTTCTTTTTAACCTTTTTTTGTGCCATTAATAGAAAACTTAAACAGCTCATAAATAATAGAGAAATGAAGGAAGAATTTTTAAAATTCGGTATACTACAACCATCACTTATAATTTGAATACCTCTACATCCAAATTAAAATTGATGAAATCTTAATAACAATTAAACAGAAGAAACCAATTAAAATATCGAAACGAAAACCGGTAAATCATTTTAGAGCGAGCGAATAGCACGCTCGAGCGTTAATGTTTTAAAACTACCATCATAAAGAAACAAATATCATCAATTAGAATTGTGGCTCCTCGGGGAACTAGAAGAAAGATACTGGTCCCAAACTCCCTACTCAATCAGTTGTGGCATGCCGAGTATCGGAACAAAGAAATTGTACTTGAGAAGTCTTATTCCTACAAACTAGAGCGATAGGCATCATATCGAACTCGCTTCGAGAATGTGATATTTCTCCAAAGGAGCTACGAGGGATCAGGCATAAGTTATCGGTTTTATTTCGAAATTTATTTTCCACATTTATTACATTTGAGCATTCATAGAAGATTCGTTCGACTAGCATTTAATTACGTTTAGGTACTAATAAATAAGATTTGTTGTATTATTCAAAGATACATGAAAATTAGTAAAAAAAATGAATTTTCTTAATTGAATCTAATAGTGATTATTTATTTAAAAAATAGTAACATTTGTTTAGACTTCTATTAGTGCATAAATGTGGATGTGGAACTTATTTAATGACCTCGGTAGTATTGGATTATTCTCAATCTAAACTACTATAAAAGTTTGGTCACGGCAAATGCTTTTACGACCATCGAGGGTAATATAAAGAAAATGAAAAACACTATATGTACTATTGTCTTTGTAAAGGTGATACTGACAACTGGTCCCGATCTGACGCCCAGTAACCGGAAGAAAAGCGCGTTATGTCCTCCCGAACGGAGTTCCGCTCTGGGAATGGACATGACGGATGGGTCCTTTTTGACAATTCAGTGCCGGATAAAATCAATTTAATAAAAAATTATGTCGTTAAAACGACTTTATGCAAGCTTACAATGGTTCATAACTCCTATATTGGAATAAACCTACTATTGATTTTTTTATAAATCAGGATAAATGGGAATTTGAATTTTAGCAATTTTAATTAGAGTGCGATCTAAGTGGCCGAACCGACTCTGGATCTATTCCTTGTTTCAGGGCTACATTACCGTCTCCTTAAAGCCAAGGTGTCTGGTTTAAAATGCTAATCTTCACAAATGGGGTGCGCGTTATTTTGAATTATGGTTTTGTTTTACATTTTTATTGCGGTGGCATTTATAATAACGTTTTTCAATTTGTGCTCACATTTCGTCCGAACTTCTTTCCCCCAAAATGTTACATGGGAGAAACGGGGAACTCGGCAAAAAGTATTTTTTTAATAAATTGTGTACCTACCTACCCAGTAAGTTTTTAATTTTGTACGCTTAGATAGTGACTAATTTTCATCTTGTAGAAGGCAATTTATTATTTAAAAAAATTTTATTGGTGTCAAGAGTTCATTATTTCTCTCAGTAACAGGTATTTATAATTGAGTTTGCTGTACCATATTTGTATAAATTTATTGGGAAATGCATGGCCCACAGAAGCTGTCAACACCGGAATATTTATACCCTAATTAGTTATTAGAATTCTTTTGTCACTCGATTTTTTAATTATCTTTTATACTCTGTTCGCCACATTTACTCAAATTAGTTTATTGTGCAGTATCTAAAGTACTATTAAAAAACTGTTTTAATTAAGGTAGAAAGGGCTATTATAGATAGTAAGAATTTATTATTAATTAGACTGTATTATAACAATCGATATAATTTTATCTTCCGAAATTAAATCTTCCAATTTTATAATAAACGAAGTAAGGTGCGAAAAGAAGGACGATAAGTAAAATTTAATAATGAATTATTGCCTTAAGCTCGTGGATTACAACAACCATGATTACGAAGCACTCATAAATTGAGGGATTTGTCAATTTAAAATGGGGGTTAGATAATTATTTATTACTCCGTCGATAACGCACTCCAGCTTCCTCTACGCAGAATTAGAATTGTAGATCGATTCGGAATTCTCCACACGATTTTGAAATAATTTAGTTTAATGAAAGATAAAAATTTTTATTAAAAAGAAGTGATCTGGTCAAAAATTACAGAACAATAATAAAATTACTACCTAAATTAATATCTGTACAAATGCTACCTTGAAAGCGATCCAAATGCCATAATAGCTAATAATTCATTCCTTTTGTAATACACCGTGTTAAATCCATTTCAAAACTAAAAAGTGACATACATGCTCGAATAACGAACCTTCCACCATTTTCGAACCTTAGGGGTGCTTGCTCAGGTAGCGCAGGTATATATCAAAATATCATCCATTGTATTGTATCATGGCCTCTTTCAGATGGCATTGTGCGATAGCACATCTGACGTACGCCGGATTCCCGCTACGAAAATTATTTATATTTCGCTGAATATGAGCAAATCTTGCGGTTGGATTTCTTTTACAAATGACTCTGTAATCTCTCGTATAAAGTACTACGAATAAGATACTGAGCATTTGGAGTGAAAAGAATGCGAAATCATATACTTATACCCGTTTAAAATTTGACTAAAAATATATGTATTTTACCTAATGAGTAAAAGTTCAAGTAAGTCGATAATAATTATTTTATCTCTATATTATATCTGATTGCTGTTTAGCACTATTTTTCAACGAGTAAAAATTTGTACATATCAACAGGTAAATCACTAACTTCATCGTAAAGCATATCTATAATCAATATGCAATACGTTCATTTTTACCACACTAAAATGTAGTGAAATTCTGCAAGAACACAATGAAAAAATGCACATTCTACTTATCTATATGCGATTTCCTTCGAAGGAATAAAGAAATTAACTCGTTCAATAATATGGAAAGTGTAAAATCTCGATAGCCGAAGCATTGAAGCGTGTACGAAAACAACAAAGTCAGGGAATTTTATCTATTTACGTACATCAAAATTATTTCTTGTTCGTTTTGCGTACAATATTCTTTGTTTCGCTGTCAGCTACTGA